TCTTTTGAGACTGAGAATACACTGCAATACCGGTGCCAGCTACATCTTATCCCTGCTTCTCTCTCCTGACTGAATTCGCAGGGAGCAGCACATGCAGCCAACAACTCCCAGCCTGGAGAGACAGCCTACAGATCAGGTAAGTGAGGGGTGGAGGCAGCCTACAGATCAGGTAAGTGAGGGATGGGGGTAGCCTACAGATCAGGTAAGTGTGGGATTGGGGGGCAGCCTACAGATCAGGTAAGTGAGGGATGGGGGAGATAGCATACAGATCAGGTAAGTGAGACATGTGGGGAGGCCTACCGGTCATGTAAGTGAGGGATGGGGGGGCAGCATACAGATCTAGTAAGTGAGGCATGGGGGGACAGCCTACAGATCAGGTAAGTGAGGCATGGGAGGCAGCCTGCATATCAGGCAAGTGAGGCATGGGGGGTGGGGGGCAGCCTACAGATCAGGTAAGTGAGGAGGCAGCCTACAGATCAGGTAAGTGAGGCATTGGGAGGCATTCTACAGATCAGGTAAGTGAGGGATGGGGAGCCAGTCTACAGATCAGGGAGGTGAGGCATGGGGGGCAGCCTACAGATCAGGTAAGTGTGGGATTGGGGGGCAGCCTACAGATCAGGTCAGTGAGGGATGGGGAAGACAGCCTACAGATCAGGTAAGTGAGGCATGGGGTGGTAGCCTACAGATCAGGTAAGGGAGGCATGGGGAGCAGCCTACAGATAAGGTAAGTGAGGGATGGGGGCAGCATCCAGGAAGGGTCAGCAGAAAGAAAGGATCAGAAAGAAATAGAAATGAGCAGGAAGGGGCATTTTTATGAACCAGGAACAAGCACTGGCTTAGAGCATCAGGTGACTCTAGCCATTCAGTGGCACCCATGCCTGACGTCAATCTGCACTTCCTGACACTCTGCTTCAGAAGCCAAATACCACTGAGCGACCTGGAGATCTGAAACTGGAGGGTTAAACAATTTGAGAGAGGTTTAACCCCTTATAGGAAAAAGAGCACCCAGGGGCCTCCTGGCATCATAGCATTTCCATTTAGATGAAGTTATTATGGTGGCCAGCATGTTCCTTTAATTTGATTAAAGGAGGAGAAACTGAAAGTGTGGAGGGGTTACCCGGCCGGCCTATAAACACACAGGCCACCACTTTCACTGGGCCGATACCGCCTGGGTCAGCCCACCCACATCCCCTTTTTTTCCAAGACATTCTTTTTGGTAGGCCTCTTTAATTGCAGAACACAACCAACTTATACCACATCTGACTTATACCACCATCAATAGGGGGAGATGCTAAGACTTGTAGGGGGTTTCTCAATCAAGTGGAATTCCTCTTTGAGAAGGATCCTTTCCCACTGACAGGCCAAATGTGGGGTTCCTCATGCATCAGCTCACTGATAAAGCACTTGAGTGGGCTAATCCCATATGGGAGGCTAATGGTCCTCTGGTTCATGATTTCCAAAGTCTCCTTAACCCCTTAAGGACACATGACATGTGTGACATGTCATGATTCCCTTTTATTCCAGAAGTTTGGCCCTTAAGGGGTTAAAGCTTTTCACAGGACATTTGACACTACCAATAGGGCTTAAAATGAAGCTAAAGCATTGATGAGAATCAAACAGGGATCCAGGTCAGTTGCTGACTACGCTATCCAGTTTCGTACCTTGGCTTCTCAGGTAGACTGGACAAACAGCGGGCTTGTTACAGCATTTATGGAAGGTCTATCAGATGCTATATTGGATGAGGTAGCGGCCAGAAACCTCCCTGTAGTCATGGAGGATCTAATTGACTACCTCATTGATATAGACAATAGAATTCGTGATAGACAATACACCAGGAAT